TTAGTTTGCCCCGGGGCAAACAGCCATGCCCCCCCCCCCCGCATTTTCCTGCTCGTGTGACCACGGCCTATAATGAAAAGCAAAGTATAATAACATAACAAAATAAGCTTAGATCCTACCAGCTTTTCTGCTGTTGAAAGAGAGAGGAGGGGGACACTTTTTGTTGGAATAGTTAATGCCTGTGTATGCATATACATATGCCAATAAAGGCTTGTCAAAGTCAAGTCAATGCCTGGTGAATAAAGAAGAAGAGAAGAAGACCCTGCAGGGTGCAGCAAGAAGACAGGATAGTAAGGTCAGCACTAGGGATGGGCACAAACCGAGAAACGAACTGCAGTTTGAGCATGAACCAGGCTGATACATGGTTCATTTTGAACTGATTGGTTTGGCTGTGTCATTCCCAAATAAAAAAATGAATTGTCTTTGTTCCATGGAGGTTCATTTCATTCATTACAGCTGTTCATTCTCCAGACAGCCTGGCACTAATTCAATCAATTCCTAGGCAACACTGGGGGTGGACTTGTGGAGAGCTCTAGAAACACCCATAGCAGTTGTCCATAGCTTGATTGGCAGTTCTGGGAGCCAACCACAGAGCTCCCATTCTGTTATAGTCAAAATTCCCTTCATTAGATAGGACCAAATATATAGAAATTGCAGGTATAACAGTTTTATCTGATTTAGTAGGCTAAGATTTTATGTCTGTGTATTGTGCTCTCCTTTGCTCTTTGGATCTTTTATTGCCTGCTTGGCCATATATATATTGGATTTGGGATATATATATAAAATTGAAGCAGACTAGCAGCGAATGTTTTTAGAAGCATTTTTTAATGACTACACGGGAGCACCTGCTTTGCGGAGCTATAACTCAGACATCCCAAATCCAATTTTTGCCAAACTTGGAGGGTGGGTGGAGGAGAGCCTGCTGAAGTTTCCCTGTAAGGTTGGCATCTCTAACTCATGAGGGGACTGTTCTACCACACTCAAGAACCAAACACACACTGAACTGGTTCAGGAAATGGGAGAAGTTCATGGAAGTTCATTGTTCATGTAATCAAATGAACCACCATTTTCCCAGTTCATGCCCCTCCCTAGTCAACACCTTCTCTCCTTTTAAGTGTCATTCCTTGTCTGTCTCCAGATTGCTACTCTTAGGGCAATATCCTCAGAAGTTCCACAGGTAGTCTGACTTTCTCTTTCAGCTAGTGACGTGGTTAAGAAAATGTCTCTCCTATGTTAGTTCCTAAGTAAACTTTCATATATGCCTTTGCTGTGTTAATTACTCTGCTAATAGTTTTGACTGCCCCCAGAACTGTGAATGGGGTTCATGGAAGTCATATGGGGTGGGGGAAGTACACAAGATGTTGGTTTCAGTGAAGAGGAAACCTAGGCAAGATCAACGAGATGAACTCAAAGGTTTGAGCCCAAAGGAATAACCTTGGAGCAATGCATTCATCACTAATATAGATTGTCAGACTAAGCATTAAGATATCTTTTTTAATATTCAAGTGAACACAGGTTTTGAAGAGATCCCAAATCTGGAGCTCTGATGCTGCCACTCTGTAGCACCAAGTAACACATGAAGACAGATTTTAGGATCTTTGGGATAGGGAGGATACATTTCCTTCTACAGCCTTTGCAGAATTTAAGGAACTTTTAGACAGAGGGTGGGTATCCAGACAGCTATCCTACTCAGTCTCACCCAATTCTCCTCTTTAGTGTGGCCCTCATTGCACACTGCTTATTGCACCCACCAATCCCCCAGAAGAGCCATACATCCTCTTTATTTTATTGTATTTCTTATTTGGAATACTAGATTAGAATAGTAGATTGTAAGGTAACGTAGTGAATAGTAGAATGCGATGTAATTTGAAATGGTAGATTGGAATGTATTTCTCTGGTCTGGGGACAGGGGTGATAACTCTACACAGCCAATCACCCCACTTTAAAGAAGAAGAAGAAGAAGAAGAAGGGGAGGAGGAGGAGGAGGAGGAGGAGCAGCAGATTGGATTTATACCCTGCCCTTCACTACCCAAAGGTGTCTCAGAGTGGCTTACAAACTCCTTTCCCATCTCCTCCCCACAACAGACACCCTGTGGCAAGTGGTGAATGGCGAGTGGCAAAAATGGCGACTGGGGGCAACATATATGGTGGACCGGATGTCGGAGGAAGGCAGAGCCAGGAGACGCAGGGGACGTGGAAGGCGCAGGTGTGGCGGAGCCTAAGCGGACTGAGCCAGAGCCACGCCGGAGCATACCTCATGCCAGAGGGGCCCGCTGATCTGCCACCGGAAGACCATGAGAAGTAGGAGAGAGTAAGGGCCGGAAGCCAAGAAGCCGAGCCGACAAG